CTTTCCTGATCCCTCTTCCCAGCTGCTAGTCAGTCCTCCCCCTCCCCATGATTACTCTTAGTGCACTTTGTATTTACTTATCTGCATATGTGTTGCTTCCCCTAACAAGATATAAACTCCTTAGGGCTGGATTTGTTCCAGTTCTGGCCTTTGTATTTTCATCATCTAAATATAGATGCTTACACATAGTAGGGGGGCTTAATACATGCTTGCTTGATCCTAATGGCTCGGTTTGAAAAGACGGAGAGAGAAAGCTTATACTGTCTCCTGTTGAGGGGAGAGTGTATGATGTGTTTGGGAATTTGCCAAACCAAAAGAAAATCTCACTAAGCCAGAGTAATGAACTTCCTTTGAGGTTTAATGACTTATTGATAAACCTGTTTAGATTTGGTTGGAGAGGATTCAATAAGTTCTGTTATCTAATTCCATCAAGTCCCATGAGAAACATTTATTCGGTTCAACAGACATTTACCACCTACTGTGTGCAAGGCCTTATGATAAATCCTGAGGCTCAAAGGTGAAAGATAGCAGGGTCCTTGCTGTGGATGGGAAGTAGAAGTTCATGTTATCATGGATCTAGAACTGGAAGGCACTTGAGGCCATTGAGCCCAACCCTCTTAATTTAATTTAATTTTTTTTTTAATTTTTTAAAAAATTTATTTATTTATTTTTAGTTTTCAACATTTACTTCCACGAGATTTTGAGTTCCAAATTTTCACCGTCTTGCCCTTCCCCCCACCCCAAGATGGCATGCATTCTGAATATCCCACCCCCTAGTCTGCCCTCCTTTCTATCTCTCCCCCCCCTCCCCCTTCTATTTTCCTGTGGGGCAGGATAGATTTCTGTATCCCATTTCCTGTATTTCTTATTTCCTAGTTGCATGTGAAAACAATTTTTTTTAAACATATGTTTTTAAAACTTTGGCCAACTCTCTTACTTTACAGATGAGAAAATGGAGACTCAGGCCAGTTTTTTTTGGCTAGGCAGTGGGGTTAAGTGACTTACCCAGGGTCACACAATAAGTTCAGGCAGGATTTGAACTCAAGCCTCTTGACTTGAAAACAAGTAATCTTGTCTCTTAGAAGTTTCCAGGAAACCCATAATCTAAATTTTTCTTTGAGCTATGAAAGATAAAACCCTTACATCAATACAAAGCAGAATGTAGTCAGTGGAAGAGATTTGTCAGATTGACACATTAAGTGGTTGAGGACAAGAGATGTATATACTGTTGCTCTAATATTAATGACTCACATTTGTGTGATTCTCCAAGTTTTATAATAAACTTTCCTCACTCTAATCCTGTGGGGTAGGCAGGGTAAGGGTGATTATCCCCATTTCTTAGATGCGGAGCCCAAAGCTCAGAGAAGTTAAATGTTTTCCCTGTAGTCATACAGCTGTGTGGAGCTGAGAAAGGAATCATGGTATAGGAGATAGAATGCTGGCCTTGGAGTGAGGAAGAGCCAGGTTTGAAACCTGTCTCAGACACTAATTGCCTTACCCTGGACAAGTCACTTAAACTTCCTGGATCTTAACTTTTCGTGTCTGTAACATGAAGTTAGACCCCACGGGTTCTTTATAGCTCTTAGTTAAGGCTTGAATTCCAGCCTCTTGATTTCTGATCCAGTGTACTTTTTGCTACATCCCAGCATGCCTACACAGTCTATTTTCTTTGTTCTTGCCAACTCCAGAATTTTGTCTTCTTTGTTTTTAGTGCTGGAAAGTGCATTCAAACCAATGCTTTATTTTTCTTAATCTTGTGCACTCCTTCAACCAGCAAGTATATGCAATGATGGAAGCCTTCAGAATTTGATCCTAAACATCTTCCCTTGGAAATCACTCTTGGGCTCTGCCTATACAGCTTTTTTTATTTTTAATACTGACTTTTCTCTTGGTGGAACCATTTTTCCTTTCCCCAGCATGTTAAGTAGGACACACCTGGGGTTAGATCCGAGGATAAAGAGTGTCTGATGTGGCTTCTATCCCATTGTGTAAACAAGGCTGCAGTTAATTTTCCATGTTAGGTAATTCTGCCTGATTTTCCCCATCAGATTGTGACTTTTTCCTTAGAAACTTTAGTAAAGAATAAACTTTCCTTAAGGGGATTTCTTCCCTTCTACATCAGAGAATTGTATCACTCCTTTATCACTGGGGAGAAAGTATATGACACCATGGACTTGATCACTCTAAAATGAATACAGCAAACTCATTGGCTTACAGAAATATCAAAGATTGAGGTGGTTATGTATCATAATGTAGAGTTTTCTAGATAGCTGGGAATTTTCTTATTTTAAGCTCTAATTTATATTTATTTTAATCATTCCAGATGGAATGTTTCTAAATGTATTGCCTCCCCTGTTTTATTTAACAGAATTTAGTGAACATCATTTTTCCATTTTGCCTTAAATGAATGCTAAGGAAAACAAACAGGGGGGTGGTGGTGGTTATGGTGGTTTTTGGTTTTAAATAGTTATATCAGGGAAGAGAGGATCCAAGCAAGGGATAGCGTCCCTTCCGTGATTGAACACATTGATGATAACAGATGATAAAAAAGGACCGGGCTACTTAACTCTCATTTTGCTTCTCATTTCTCTGCCAAGGAGAATGATCTTTAAACTGGAAAAGACAGAGCAAGATATAGAGAGAGTGAAAAGGATACCTACATATTCTAGAGAAGTTTGTCACCAGACCTGGAAGAACTATTTTCTAAAGTTCCAAAAGAATAAGCATTTTTATTAAGCATCTGCAGGGTGCCAGGCACTGTGCTAGGTGCTTGAGATACAAGGGCACATTGGCAAATATGGTTGCCAAATTCTCTCTCTCTCTTTTTTTTTGCTAGGTAATGAGGTTAAGTGACTTGCCCAGGGTCACACAACTAGTAAGTGTTATATGTCTGAGGCCAGATTTGAACTCAGGTCCTCCTGAATCCAGTGCCAGTGCTCTATCCACTGCACCACCTAGCTGCCCCTCTCATTTTCTTCCTTAAACTTATCTCCCTATTGCTGTTGAGGGTACCACTAGCCTTCTACTCACCTAGATTTTGCAAACTCGGTCATCCTCGACACTTTCCATTCCCTCAGTCCATCAAGTCTTGTCAAAGCAATCTCTCTATCTCTTAATCTCTGCTCACATTGCCACCAACCTAATTCAGGCTCTATTAATTTTTTTTTCCATCTGGACTTATAGAATAGCCTTTTATTTGTTCTCCTAGCTTCCAGTTTGTCCCTTCTAGAATTTAGTATATATAGTTGCCAAGATATTTTTCCTAAAACATAGGTCTGGTCATGTCCCTTCTGCTCAAGAATATTAAGAGGCTTTCTATTGTCTTTAATATAAAATCCAAACTCTTCAGCTTTAGAGCACTTCACAATTTGCTTTCCGTCTATCTTTCTAAAGTTGTTAGACTTTATTCCCTCTCACTATTCTATGTTCTAACAACTTGGCTGTCCTCTGAACTAAGCATTCCATCTCCCACCTCTTTGTCTATTCACAAGTTGTCTCCCATGCCTAGAACGCCCTCTCTTCTCAGCTCTACGTCTTAGAATTTCTAACTTCTTTCAAAGCACCTGTCAGATGCTACCTTTTATGGGAAACCTTTACTGATCTCTTTAGGTTGTTAGCTTCATCACACTGTCTAGTATTTACTTGTCTTTTTTATTGAATATAAGTTCTTTGAGGAAAGCATCTAGAATGAAGGCCATTGCCATTCTTGCTATACTCTGCCATGTTAAGAGCACAGCTGGAGTGGTGCATTCAGTTTCCAGCACCACATTTTAGGAAAGACATTGACAAGTTAGGGAGGGTTCAGAGGAGTGTAAGTAAGAGCAAATCAGGCTGTGAGTAAGCATCTGAGGAAGTTACTTAGTAGTAAAATGCCTTGTTTTAGTATAACAACTTAGTGATACTAATTTGTCTGGTCAGAACTGGTTTTTGCTTCCTGTTGTGTTCTCAGCAGGTGAGATTGCCAGATGGAGAAGTTCCAGAGGCATAGATATTACATGTGTGTGGGTGCGTGTACACACACACATACACATATACACATATGTAACATATGGTTTCTAATTGATTCTGTGTACATCTTAATCATATATTTATATTTGTGTGTGTATATGTATACATACATACACACTTTTTTTCTTATCTGTGGAAAACGTAAAAAATCTTCCCCCGACCTTTAAAGTCTGTTACAATGTGGCTCCACCTTTTCCACTAAATTTCCCATTATTCCCCTCTGTGGCCGCTCCACCACAGTTAACCAGCCTGCTAGTGGTTCTCTCTTGTGTGTATGTAATATATGTGAATATGTAACCTGGGTAGTTCCATAGATCTCAAATGCACCCTTTCCTTACCTCCATATCTTAGAATCCTTTTCTTCTATTAAAACGTCATTCAGGTGCATCTTCCTGCTTGAGGCCTTCTCTTCCCACCCCCTCCAGCTGTTAGTGCTTTTACTCTCTTGAAATTACTTTGTATTACTTTATCTATAACTCATTTGTGTATGTATGTATATGTATAACTATATATATATATATATATATATATATAATGTCCCTTCAGGAGAGTGTGAGTTCCTTGTAGTAGGCATCCATGTCATCATTTTGTCTTTGTATTTCTGCACTATGCACAGTACCTAGCATATAGCAACCATTTTATAAATGTTTGTTGAGTGGAGTTGACAGGCTTCAATCAATAAAATTAAATCAATACTTAAATTTTTCTTTGCCTGAAATTTGACAGCAAAGACCCAATGAGGAATTGCTTTTATTTCGCCTTCTATACACACTTTTTTGAGGTAGCAAATACATCGATATCACTGACTTAAAAGGAGAATAAAGTTCATAAGTGCCCAATTGATGTTCCATTACAATTTTCTGCATCCCATAAAGAGACTGAGAAACCTGCACCTAGCAGATTCTGAAATATGATCTGCTATGACTGTTAATTTTAATGTCTTGGACTATAAAAGTAGTTTCTAATTGATTCTGTGCGTATCTCAACTATAGGACAGAAAACTGACAAAGTTGGAGAGGCAAAGATTTAAAGAAGAAGCCGAAATGCTGAAAGGCCTGCAACATCCAAACATCGTTAGATTCTATGACTTCTGGGAGTCTTGTGCTAAGGGGAAGAGATGCATTGTGTTGGTAACTGAATTAATGACTTCTGGAACATTAAAAACGTAAGTCACTGCATTGATTTCTACACTGTCACATGCCTTATCTCCACCATCAAAGAACTCCTGTCTTCCTTTCCAGCAACCTACCTGGAAATAAATAAACACACACACATATTGTATATAAATATATATTTACATACATGCTTACATACATATCCATGTATGTATATAAACTCATCACAAAGTGGCATTCATCCCAGAAAAGATAACTGCCACAATCTGTAGTTTCTTTCACATCTTTCTATTTTATTCCATGCATGACAACAGATATGCAAGTTATTGCCTGATTTTACTTCCTTGGTTTCTTTTTTATATCTGGGTGGTTTGTCATAGTCCGAGAATCTATTCCAGTTTGGAATCTGGTCGTATTTCATTTTAATGGCTCCCAAAATGGGCTGTGTTAGTAGGGTATTAGTTTTACTATCCAAAACATGCAGTGGGGATTAAGAAGAGGGCACCAAGATTTGTAGAAGTGTTAAACAAATTTCTTTATCCCCATTGGGTTTTGTGTGTAACTGATGTTGACCAGGCCTGTGCTCTTGGTCAGTGCACAATATGAAGAGACATTGGGTAATCAATGGACATGTGATTTTTTTTTTTTGACTTAGCACTCTTCCCCAAATATATTTACTAATGTAATAGATGTACTATTTAAGGCTACAACCATCCTGTTGCTACACATTCTGGACTGGTCCTTCTTCCAGTGTCTGCATTAATACATCTCTCAGCTTTGCTACTAGAGACTTAAATTTATCTTCTCTTTGCTACTTATCAAAAGTGTGGTCCATAAGCACTAGACTATAACCTTTCTTGCTAAAACTTATTTTTAAACTTCTAGGCTAAGTAAAAGATCTAGACATCACAATGTCATGATGACCTGGCATATCTTTTACGGAATGGTTGGGAGGAGAAGCATGTAACCTATAGCCTAGCAACTGATACTGCCAGTAATTCCTAAAATAAAGAAATTTTCCTAACAGAATTAGTGAAGAGTACTAGATCTTAACGTTTGTATTAGCTTTTAAAGCTGGTTCAAAAATAGAAATGCCTTGTTTTTTCAAATTGAACTTGAACAGCTTTTAAAATAAACTGCTTTCTAAAAGACCACTGAGATCAATCATTTTAGTAAGCTTTGTGGTTGTACCTTTTCACCCTCTCTGCAGATATCTGAAGCGGTTTAAAGTGATGAAACCCAAGGTTCTCCGCAGCTGGTGCCGGCAGATCCTGAAAGGCCTCCTTTTTTTGCACACAAGGACTCCACCAATTATTCACAGAGACTTAAAATGTGACAATATTTTTATCACTGGACCAACCGGATCTGTGAAAATAGGAGACCTGGGTCTGGCAACCTTGAAGAGAGCCTCATTTGCCAAAAGTGTAATAGGTAAACCCATCTCTTCTCCTTGGTGTACTTGGGGCCTTTGAGATATGGACAGATATGGTGTAGCAATGTTTCTAAGCTAAGCTTTTTCATTCAGGTAGAATATAGTCAAATTGGGGACTTGATAGATTTTCTTCTCATTGTGTTTTTTCAGCTCATATAATTTGAAAATTATTTGCTCACTGGCCTTATGAACCTGAGTTCCTCCTTTGGGTATGAAATTTTAATCCGTCTTCTTTCTCCTTATTTCTCCTCCCTTTCAGTTTATGTAAGTTTGTGTCCAACCTATTTGTGTCTGTGCCTCTATTTCTCTCTGATCTCTTTCTGACCATCTCATTTCTCTCTCTGACCCCCATTTCTCTCTCATTTCCTCCTCTCCATCTCTTCCCCCTGTCCCTTTGCTTTGTGTGTTTCCTTCATCTGTTCATACATGGTAGGCTTAGAAGGGGAATGGTCTTTAAATTCTTCTCTTGGATATTCAGAAACACTTAGGCATTATTTTAGTGTTTATACATGGGCCTAGTTTCGACCCAGCAGTGCTTAAGGAATTTGGATTCCTTAATTCCTTAATCTCCTTGGATTTAAGGAGATTGTCCTTAAGGTGCACAAAAATCTTGTGTTGGCTTTTGAGTTGGCTTTTTAGAGTTGGTTTAGATCCTCAAAATGTAAGTAGGTTCATTAAGCTACATAATTACTGCTTTTTCTGTCATTCAATTTGGAATATCAGACCTTAGCCATAGTATTTTGTTTGGAATAAGGAAATTGGATGCTTAATCATAAATCTTTTCTCTTTTTATATGTTATAAGATAATATTTATAAAGTGCTTAGCACAATGTCTGGCATATGGGAGGCACTATAAATGTTAGCTATCATTATTATGATATTCTTATATTACCGCTTGGTGTTAGGAGTGATCAATAACTTAGATATTGCCTAAGGCTCACATGTCATGTGACCATCCTATGGTTATGGAAATCTTTTTCATGCAGTATGTTTAATGTATCAACTAGGTTATAAAGTATTTTAAATGTATGAAGAAATAATACCATCTTCATGGAGTAGTAAACTGAGTCAGAGGTAAAGTATGAAGTGAAAACCAGGAAGGAGTAAAGTCATCAGGAATATGATATTCCTTCATGTACTAAGTTCTTTCTGACCAAAGTGCCAGTGTTCTTTCCAAAGCCATGATGGGGGCTAAATGATCACATTTTTCTTGTCCATGAATATGGTTGTCTTGTGAATCAGGTGGACAGATAAGAGTGAGGGAAGTTTCAGCTTAAGTGACTTGCCCAGAGTCATGCAGCTAGGAAGTGTCTGAGGCCAGATTTGAACTCAGGAAATGAGTCCAGGTCTGGCACTCTATCCACTTCACCACCTAGCTGCCCACTTAATTTGGTAATCAGTACTTTATAGCAAGCCCTAGAACTCTATAGCAGAGCCTGAACAACACCTAGGTATGTGAGATTGCAGATAATCAGGAAAATAAATGTGAACTATACAGATGAGTCCCAATGAGTAAAGGTCTGTAGGGATTGATAATAAAGCAGTGAAAGAAAAGTTTCTTTGTTTCTTTCTCTAAATTGGTATCTTGTTGACCAAAACCTTTCTTTTTTTTGTTGTTGTTGTTTGTTTGTTTTGTTGTTGTTTTTCTGTTTGTTTTTTGTTCGTTTTTTTTTTTTTTTT